ACATCTAATATGCAGGCTACTGCTACGATATATTATGGTCAGCAACTCCAAATATCAGCCTGTAGACAAGGCAACAGTTTAAACAAACCACTAACTATGTTTTGAATTCTGGAGCAGCCATTTGTGTGTCGAGCACTAACTGAACATTACTAAAACAAAACTGTGCTTGTTCAGAAACAACAACTGATAAGTTGCATCTTTATCGTCAGTTAGTGCCACAAGTTCAACGTTTGTTTCCGTCATTGGCTGTCTAGAAATATTTATGTTTGTACATTACCATAGGTGGCTCTGCATTACCATTGTTAATCTTCAGGGCAACAATATTTAGTAAGTTTACACTGTCTAAGGTGACTATGTGCCCGGTCTTCTCTTATTGGTTAGCTGGCCAGCTTTGTTGTGATTGGTCAACCGCTTAGAGATGTCTTGCCCCTTAGCTTATCACTCGCTACCTAGGCTGGCGGATGACTTAGAAAACATTGCACCTGAAATATTGCAGTCAGGATAAGTATCCAATGTTCACAACGGATGTGTTTGTTTTCGACGCAGGTTAAGGAGAGGGGCGGAAACTGTGTGCCAGTTATCTGCGATTCCACGAATGATAAAGAAATTGAAGACCTGTTTGAGAGGATCAAGCATGAGCAGAATGGCAGGCTGGATATCCTGGTCAACAATGCCTATGTTGGAGTGCAGGTAGGTGTACAACACTGACATGAAACACCACTTCATGTGTCGTATACTTGAACAAGAGACAATCTTGAATGGGATTGCAACCAATTGGATCACGGTTGTAAAATAGTGGGAGCCTATGGCCTTTTTCTACTATGTATTTCTGGCATTCTCGCTGGAACGAAATCCATTTCAAACAAATCTTTCATTTTGATCCCAACATCACACCTGTACATTTCCGTGACTGCGTTATGCATGGTTATGACGACATTAGGGTGACAAACCTGCGCACAGACAGACTGAAAAACGTCTGGCAAAGAACTCAAAACCAATTATGTGGTTATTCCCGCTATACTAGTTGTCACTATGACCGCATTTTACCCATGACACACACACAATACCAGCATCGCTGTAGCAGATGCCAAAAACGTGTGGAACACTTGACAACTTTAAACAGCACCAACCATAAAATGCCCACTATGTGACCTTTTTATCTGAACTTTAAAATGATGTGTTATTCCAGGCGATCTTCGGGAACATGGGGAAGAAGTTTTGGGAAACCGATCCAACCATTTGGGATTCCATAAACAATACAGGACTCAGGTAAGCTTTGTAGGTCTATTAGTCATATCCTCCAGTCTAGTGACAATTTCCCGGACATCAGCTGTTACTCAATGTGTTTGTGTCTCTTATCCGTTGTGAGTTCAGCATTAATGTATTGCCAGTAGAAGCTCAGAAAATATACAAAGTGTGATTCAAAAATGTTTTGATTGATTCTTATTCATTTCATCATTTATCTGGCAGAGGACACTATTTCTTCTCAGTTCATGCATCCCGGATGATGGTGGCTCAAGGTCAGGGTTTGATCGTCACCATTTCTTCCATGGGCGGGCTGCGGTATCTCTTCAATGTGCCATACGGTGTTGGTAAAGCAGCAGTAAGTTCTAATTTAGACCTAGATTATGTTAACATAAATACATCTGCTGTGTAAATTGGTCAGTGTCATAAAAAACGATTTTGGTATTGTGGTTCGTTTCCAGTGTGACAGGTTGGCAGCAGACATGGCTGTTGAGCTGAAAAGTAGGGGAGTGGCTTCTGTCAGTCTGTGGCCCGGAGCGGTACAAACAGAGTTGGTTTCTCAGCTCATATTGGAGAAAGAAACCCCAGAGGGTGCAGATTCCAAGGTAGACTCTTTAAAGCAAATCGTTGGTATGCCAATCCATATTGGCTTCTTTGAGATTTTTTAAATATCTGTATTCTATTTTGCTCAAAGATCAAAGATGTATTTACCAATGCAGAAACTACAGAATTGAGTGGGATGTGCATTGTCAACCTGGCAAAAGGTAGGACAATATCAGATGGTACATATGAGATAAGGAACGCTGTGCATATATCATATTTGCTGTAACATGCATTCTTGAAAACATTTACTGGTGCGACTGATTTGGTTTGAGTTTTGTTCATTTGCATACTTTTGGTTTCTTTCCTGCCTGAAAGATAAAAGCCTGATGTCTCTGAGTGGGAAAGTACTCCTCACATGTGACCTGGCAAGACGCTATGGGTTTCAAGATGTTGATGGTAAGTTTGTATCAGCTGTGTTATTTTTTATTTGAACTTACTTTGACATAAAGCCCCCTGATTATAACATATTGTTCCTCTGTTTATTTACAGGAAGGAGTGTAACTGATTACACTTCCCTAAAATTCCTCCTGACCCAGGTCCCATATCTCTCGTGGCTGTCAGTCGTTACACCTTCATTCCTACACCTGCCACGCTTTGTGCTCACCCTGGCTAGTAACCGGTTCTAAACATTTCCTATATCTGTACTGAAGTCACAGTATAATGTTTCCATTACATACAACTGCAAGCTCCCAGCTAACAGGAGTTATTTTTGTCACTATGTAGAAATATAAATGTACTCTTACTTGATTAATGCAATGAAGGTATTTCTATGAAGTTTGAGGTAGATATGAAGAACACTCAAGCATATTCCCTGAATTGACACTATTGTCAGTTTTGGGTGAAGGCAAAAAAGAAAAGAAAATGTGAAATCATTATCATTTCTAAGTATGTATTTTTTAAAGAGGTATACAAAACCCTAACTATATAACGATTATATTTACTATAAAGACATTTACATGTATAAAAGTATTTTTTTGTGGTTATTATACTGACAACAATATTTTTTAGCATTTGATTGTTATATTTCAATTAAATGTTTAACACTACTTTTACTACAACTACGTATTTGACCACCTTATAACAATTGATTCAATAAAGATATTTCATTTTCTGTTTTCTTTTCCCATTCCTTATTGTGAAATATCATACCAATCGCATGTTCAAACTGATGTGACCAATTTAAAAAAGACATCTTTCATAAAAATGGTTAAACCCCTTCAGATTTTGAAACAGTCTGTAATCTTCTATAATCAAGCAGAAATAATGAGCGAAATGTACTGACTGACATTTATAATACAGTTGCCTTCTTTTCACTGACAGAATATCATGTCTGAAGCTGATATGAATTCAGCATCTTGCTCAAGGACACATTATCACTGGACGAGGGATGATTGTTTGATTATATCTTGTGCATAAAACAACAAAAATCCAACTTCCTAATCGTTGTTTTGGTGATACATTAGGAATTGATACAGAGCAATACCCATGGTTGTAAAGATACATATTACAAGTCCCCCAGTTCAATTTTAAATGGTTCTACTGATTTAGATGTTAACATTATGTTTATTCTTTTACTAAACTGTTCCATTTCATTTTCTAAAAGGTATATTTCTCAATAATTTAAATGCTTTAGTGAATTGTTGGCTCAAAAGTAGCCCACATTTCCAGAATATGGTGTTTTCAGTGGTGTCAATGGCCCTGGACTATTAATTTATAACTACTATAAGTTTGGTCCAAGGGCCCCTAGAAATCTTGGGAAAGGCTACAAGGGGATACATTTAAAACATTTAACTATTGTTATCAATGCTCTAAATCAGGACAGTAGTTGATGGATTAATGTAATATTTGAAATTAAAAACTATGATGAGACTCGGTTGAAAATCATTTTTGTGGAGGGGGGGGATTGACGTGAAACTCTTTAGCCTACTGCCACGGATTTATTATACAGGCGCCTCCTCCCTCCAATCCACGGTCTTCTCTCCCAGACTGGCACACCCACCCCGCCGTCACTGTGGGAGAGTCAGTTGGGCCTTTCTGGGCTTCCTGGTCCTCAGCTCAGCTCCGCCTCGCCTCGATCTGACCGGACAGCGAAAACACTTCTCAGTTAAAGAACAAAAGCAACAACGGATGGACCGAGGAGGACGAAGTAACGACGACTCAAACTGAGACCTAAATCTCCCGGATTGAGATATTTGTGCGCCATACGGCAAACGACTGAACTCCTGCGAAAAGGCGACAAACTTGGTCGCCTCGCATCTTTGTATCCCGACAGTAATCCATCGAGGTGCTTGATAAATAAGACAAGGGTCAAACCGACAGACGGACGGCATTGTTTCCCTGGTCTTCCCCTAAACTTCGGCCATAAAGGAACGGAGTGGCAGAGGGGAAACTCCGGGTTTCTTCTCATGTCTTTACGCTGAAACCGACCAAGGAGACAGCGGGTTATTTTGGCATTTTCGGTAAGTTTATTTGTATGTTTCACTGAAGCGTGTCTGACGCCGAAGTGCGCCTGTGCAGTGTGAAGCGTTTTAGTTAGTACGCCATAAAGGGGGAGACACTGGGCTGCTTTTGTGATGGACACCGAAAGCAACTTTTATAGCTTTTTTCTTAACGCTAAAACAAAGATAATACGTTTAAACTCGAACAGTGCTGTGAGGAAACACATGAAACACGGAGGAGGCCACTCCATGATCTCACCCCCGTGGGTTTCAATGTGTCACGAATGACTAATAGTGGTTTCACAATTGTTTGCTAATGTTTTTTTGTACATTTCGAACATTTCTTACGTGACTCAAGCGACCTTAATCGTCGTGACCTAACTGAATGGACATTTTCCTCTGCTGTTTCAAATAAAGAAACTCACAAATAAAGGCAATGCTATATAGTTACTTGTAAGAAACTGTACCATAAGTAGTTACAAACCCCTATTCATATAATAAAGTAATGACTAAAATGGGACGGGTTATTTTATTAAAAAATCATTTTATTGATCCTTCTATGAAAGTGACATTTCACTGCATAATGTGTTGTTGTGATAGCTTAACACCTGTTGCTAAATTAATTAATCTATGTATATTCAATTAGTATTTCAAACAATTTTTCAGAATGAAAACAAACAAATGAACTTGGTGTTTGATACTTTTTAAGTACTTTGAGTGCCTCGACTTGAGTGTGACTAATCCAACTCATTTTGTCTTTCCTTGCCATTGTGAAGAGGCTACACTCGTATTTCGGGACTGAGAACTTGGGAGTGGAACAAAGGGCGACTGGGAAAGGGTGAGAAAGTAGACTGTGATGGTTTTCTCACAGATCCCCACGCACACCACCCTTTGCGACCAATCCCCCCACTCACACAAAACAAAAGTCAGGCACTACACTTTGGGGGAGGGGAACCCAGTCTCGACAGAGTATACGACAAGTTTCGCTGGGAGTTCAGAATAAGAAGTGCAAAGTAGGGGGGAGGGGGTAACCAGCTGTCAGATAATTGACTTTGAGAATGAATGAGACCCAAAAGTCCTGAAAACATCAGTCTATACTTTCTGCTACATTTCTTATCATACATTTTTAATCCCCACAGTGATCCTCTATGAAGTAAAAACTGTTTGTCAACTAAAAAGAACATCAAAGACTAAATCAGTGTTTTGTTTTGATTTTTTTTAGGTGAAAGAGACAATTTTGACATCCCAGATGGCGACCTACAGTGAACACAATGGCAAACATGGACTATTTATGGGCATGAAGGGGCCTTTTGAAGGAAAAGCAACAAAGACAGAATGTGAAGTAAAACTTGTACCCAAACGCCCCTCCAAGGATTTGCGCCACTCTGCCAGCTCAGCTGAAAACGAGAGTGGCGTGGCTAGCTTCACCACAAACCACAACTCTGTTGTGTGCCTGCCTCTAGTGTCAGAGGGGCTGAAACTGGTGTGGACACAGTCGGATCAAACCCGTGAACTTGACACAATCCCAGAGCTGGTCCAAGCCTTTAACTTATTTCCATACCCATCATCCTGTGAGGTAACCACTCTGGCCCGGGTATGTGCCTTGCCACTGGACAAAGTAAAGGTGTGGTTCATGGTGCAGAGAATTAAATATGGTATCAGCTGGTCTTCAGAAGAAATCGAGGAGACACGTCAAAAGCTGGCAGTGCCTGATCTTTGTGATGACTATACTGAAACAAACGAGGAAGCCAAAATAAAGAGCAAGAGCAGCAGTTCTGAGGAATTGGTAATTGAGGATAAGGATATCAATGAAGTAAAGGGGGCCATCTGTATCCCCCAGAAGAAGAAACCAAAGTGTGAGTCACAAGATTCCTATAAACCAGCCAAGCCCAATGTCCCGTTTTTCAGCTCCTCCCTCCCCCCTCCTCAGGATTCATACTTCTACCGCCCACCAGCAGACACGCCAGCAGGTATAGCAGCTGATGTCTCCCTTGACCTTTCAGAGTCATCTTCACGACAGCACCGCCATGGGCGCTACAAAAAGTCTAAAGTTCAGCTCGCTGCCCTTCGGAAAAGCTTTTTGAGAGAGAATTGGCCTGCGGAGGTAGAGCTTAGACGTTTGCAGGAAGAAACGGGGCTGAGCCGTAACGACATTCGGAAATGGTTCAGTGACAGCCGGTACCAGCTACGGGTTGGTAGAGGAAGCCTAGCTGCAGCACAGAATCACTCTCAAAACACTGGAGGTAAACAAGATCAAGAAATTCAACCTATCCCACTTATCACACAAAAGACTAGTCAACTGGACGGTGTGAAGGGCCAGGACGGAGCCCGTGGAAATGGGATAAGAAATTCACATTTCTTTCAAACCTTCTTAACAAACAGCCTTGAAGCATTTGGGGAGAGGGTCCTTGAGGCAGAAGGGTATGAAGTTATGGAGGAGCTTTCTGGTGATGGGGACAGTTTGAAAGACGAGGAACAAAATGAAGAGCAACCATTGCAGCTGACTAAGACCTGCAAGATTGAGCCAGATGTTCCACAGGAACCATCAGGTATATTAAAATGCTCTCCCTACTCTTCCCCCTCTGGAAGCCCACCACTGACTGCCTCACCTCATAAACCGCTTTCAAACAGCAACAGCACATCAAAGAAGTCAGCCCACTCAGCCAAAGCCAGTCCCGCACAAACACCTTCAAAGGCTCCCTTATCCACATCCCCTGCCCTCACTCCAGCTGGGCGACCAAGAAAGACCAAGGAGCAGTTGGATATGTTAAAGCAGCACTTCTTACGCTGCCAGTGGCCCAAGAGTGAAGATTATACAGAACTTGTGAAGCTTACAGGTTTACCCCGGGCAGATGTCATTCAGTGGTTTGGGGACACGCGGTATGCCGTTAAAAACGGCCAGCTACGCTGGGTGAAAGGCGTTCGCGATCAGTTCTTGGCAGAGCTTGCAGCCCAGCAAAGTAGCAGTGGTTTAACTAACGGAAATGGCTCTGGGACATCTGCTCGGGCTGGGGGTGGCCGCAAACGAAAATCACAAGCAAATGCAACAAGTGCAGATTCCCCTGATATCCAGCCATTGCTGACATATTACCTTTCAACAGGCAAACTACATGAAAAAGACCTTGACACTCTATGCAAGAAATCAAAAATGAGCTACCAGCAAGTGCGAGATTGGTTTGCAGGTCAGGATACGGGAGGGACTGAACAAGAACCCATTGCCGCTGATTAAGACCATGGAACCAAACATTTCTAAAAGGTGTTGGTGTGCTCCTTGCATCCTTTGCACCAATAAGCATATATACTACTTTGGTTTAAATTGCTTCAATTTGGCCGGTTTGTACCATCCCGTCTTCCCAGCACAAGCCCAAAGTGAGGTTTGAGTTTTTATATATGCTGAATTTCCTGCTTTTCCTAATATATTTGGACATGAGTTATAATTGTGCTGCCTCTGTTGCTGTAAATTGGACAGTAACTTGTACACTGGTTTGCTATATTTTGAGCTAATTATTTTTGTCTGGATATCACTACTACAGAGTTGTTAGTATGCTATTGTAGCAGTTTAATTTAAACTGGTTGTACCTTTGGTATCTGACTAAAGCAGTAACTGTTCCAGAAAAATGTCTATGTTGATACATTTGTTAAAAGGTCACTGTTTAATCATTCCTTTACAGCCAATAATTCCTTGTCGAGAAAAGCACACTGGACATGATCACTTTAAATTGACATCTTGCACTTTGGTTTTAGAGGCTGCTGCCATATTCATAACATCCAATTTGTTCACAAAATGTTATTTGAACCCTTAACACTGAAAGTAATAAACATGCCTTTTACAAAACAGTATGATACATCTAATTGTACTTATGTCTGACAAACATTCCCCGATTCTCTTTTACACTGCTATAAAACCTGATTTCCTGTTTGTAAACTCTGTAATTTGCATTCAACTGCACCTTTCAACAGTAATTAGAAAAGCAACAATCACATCAACATTATACAGATGTCAGAATTGCCAACTTCAATTCTCTTTTTTCTCAGTAATTTATCAGTCAGTATTTTTATGTCTATTTTGTCTTAATAGCTGTAGGGTGTTTATACTTGATGGACAGATAAAATAATAGATGGGCGTCCACATACTGTATAAGTAGCAATAGAATTTAATCCAAAGAAAAACACCAACAAATACTATACATTTTGGTAATCAGTTCAGAGAAACTCCACACTCTGTTAGTAGCCCTCCAGTGGTTGAAGTGGGGTTTTAATGGTGTCAGTTAGCTCAATAGAAATATCTGGTTAAAGTTTAGATTACAATGAAGTCGCTCAAGCAGTGTCACTTTGTCATTGTATTAGTAGTGAAGCATTAATGCAAGTGTCATGCTGGTGGAAATTGTCCACAACGCTTAGTGTCTTCCTTTGCAGATGTCTTCTATGTATTTCATCCAGTTTGAAATGTCTCATTTGCACAATTGTGTCACTGGAAACCAGTAAAGGATTTGCCTTTCTATTGATGTGTGAGCAATGTTTTTTTGTGTGCTCCAATGACAACTGATCCTTACGGATAACATTTATTTTTTTATCAATGTAAACTCCAAGCAAAAGCAATTTGTAGAAACACACACAATTGTACTGCCATAAATTGAACATCAATTTATGGCAGTAAAACGGTCAATCAATAACAATAGGATAATCTGGAACCACAGGGTAACGTCAATGGAACAATGATAAATTGTGACATTAAATCAACATCCAACTGTTACTGGGCAAAAACATGTTTTTCTTTAACTAAGAAAACAAAGCTGATGTAGACATCAACTGACAAAAATATCCCAGCTTCATCAGTGCCTGGGTGACTGTAATGATAATCCACTCATAAACGGGAACTGGAAGGCATTAGGAGTCTGACGCTGAGTTCTGGGGAAGACAGAATTGGACTGACTCACGACAACACGAGAAAATCCTCCCTTCTTGAAAATGTGATACAAAGTTTCACAACAAGTTATTCGTAAAGCATTTCTTACCTTGCAGGAGTGTTGTAGGATGTGGGAGTTCCTTTTCAAAGACAGAGGTGAAAGGATTAATGATTAAAGAAGGACTGCATGTTACAGCCAAAGCGTCTTCACAACACTTACTGTGTGCATGTCCATGAAGTGAACTGTGGCTGTGAATAGAGGTAGCTGATCCAGGAGTCTGAAAAAAACAAAGAGCAAACAACATTTTAATTGATAGGAGGATTACTTGTAAAAATGTATTCCGTTAAAATGATTATTTAGTTGTAAAAAAAAAATCAGTAACCTAATCTGAGTATCAAAATATAGAAGTAGTGTAACATTATTACTTTCTGTTACTTAGCATTACCTCAATATCAAATGCAATGAAAATAAATACAAGAGAAAATATTATCAATAAGATTTGTTTTTATTTAAGTGTATTACGTAAGACAACAGTAACCTTATGTTAATTTAAAAAATAAGAAACAAAGATATATAGTATCGAAAATGTGTCTTATTATAGGAAAACCTGCCTTTCATCGAGCATATTCAGGCAGTAGCATATACACCAACGATGAAACACATGAGCACACACTACAGTTCAGAAAATAAAATCTGAGCTGACAGGAAATGCTCCGTTTTAATTGAATACATACAGTTCATACACACTATTTTATAAACATATAGGTTCACCCTCTGATTAAAAAAAATAACAAAAGAACCAAAGAAAGTGAAAAACATAAACTTAATTCAGGCAGTAGGCGTATTGATTCACACCTAAAGTATTAGCCTACAGAACAGGAGTTTACAAAGAAGACATTACATCTGTTCCTGGGATTTTTTAGTAACATTGTAATCCTGCTAGTAATCCCAGATTTTCTTTAAATGTAACATGAATCTGAATAATTCTTTTTTTTATGTACCGGTACATAAATCTAAGGGAATTCTTTGTATCCTGATTACGTAATCCGATAATGACCACCTGGTCTATGAATTTGTAATTATTTAGAGCAAGTACAATCATTCTTGACCCTTAGAGATGTTTGTCTCACAAAAACATCTCGACTAAAGGTCCACTGACTAGCTTCTCCTAGAGGTTTCAACCACAGTTCAGTCTTCATCAGTGGATGGAGATCTGAGATGGAACCTCCCTGAACGCTTTGATAAAAGCTATTGATGACCTTGATTTAAGATTATTATATTGTCAAATGGTTTTAAATCTCCTAAAAGTTGCACAATTTTTTTTTACTCTGGCACAACAATTTCCTTCAGGATAAATGAAGTCTTATCTTATCTCTTAAAATCCCTTTAGGAAATAGTTATATTATTTCTGTTTTTTTAAATTAAGAAATACTTTTGTTTATAGAAGTTCCGTCAGGAGGCTGAACTCTCTCCCCTCCCTCCCCCCTGACCCCACTGGTCCTGGACTTTAACACCACACACACTCAAATCCAGCACAAGACACTTTTTTTTTACGCCGCTATGGACAGTCTTGCACTAATGTACATTCTCAAAGATATTGAAGTGGATGTTATTTTGTATATATTGATTGTTGTGCTTTTATTTAGGTGTTACTTTGTGCATATGTAGAAATGTGTCTTTTGATTGTGTATATATAGATATATACATATTTGTATATATATTTGTTTTTCTATTCGGGATTGTGGGAAACGGTATTTCGATCTCTCTGCCTGTACACACAAACTGAAAGATTGACAATGAAGTTGACTTTGACTTCTACAAAACATTAGAAGACTATAAAGTGCTATATAAATACAGTTCATTTCAAAATACTACAATAAGGAGACTTACTGTGAGAGAGGATAGACTATGACCCCTGTCTCTGGCCCACACCTGAGACTCCGCTGAGCCCATGTAACTGTGGACAACATGTTTGAGCATTCAATATTTGGACTCCTTTTATGAATTGTAGATATGTTATGCAGAGGGAAATCCACCAGGGCAAGGATGTAATACATACCTCATGGTTCTTGGACGAGGGGTAACTAGCAAAAGGAAACACATACACGCTGCTTATTACCTTAAATCAAAAATAATTGAGATATAAAACAACAAAAGCATGAACTGTAACGATTCAACTTACCTGGGGAGGTGACAGCCACAGGGAGTGACATTCTTTGATTTCTATATATGAGATAAAACGTGATTACTCAACTGTTTTAAAACATTTGAACACTAGAAGGTTCATGAGGATAGTCCTGATATGAGCATTAGTTTTACCCATCTATTTGAAACTGTCCTGGTGAAACCTTTGGAAAAGAAAAAGTATGCAAGCTATATTAGATATTTGACTATTCCTGAACATTTTGGCAACATGAACATTTTATTTTCTAGACTTTGGAACACTTACCCGCCGCTGAGAAAGGGGCTTTTTCAAATCAGCAGTCTCTCTTTTCAGTTCTGAAAGCTGCTTTTTAAAGTTAGCATTCTCTCTTTTCAGCTCGGAGAGTTGCCTTGGGATGGGAATAAAAGCGTTGCAACCAGGGTTTTTATATTCACAGCCACAGAGGAACAATAATAGGTTCTAGATTCACCTGTAAGCCTGCTCACTGACTTCCTTCAGATGCCTTTCCAGCTCCACAGACTTATGCTTGAAGTGTGCCGTGACTCTTTCCATCTGTGTCCGCTGAAAAAGTGCAATCTGAGGAGCATGAAGACTGATATTAGGAAGTCTTTCAGTAAAAATAGAACGTAATGAATATAAACTTTTGGATTATAGTTCAGGGATGCTTTTAATTGTGTCTCCTATCACTCTAAATGAAGCAATGTCTTGTTGAATGACTCACTGACTGACTATTAATTGAATGACATTTAACATGCTTCTTTAGCAATTGCACAGAGGAGACAGACCTGTGAGATGTGCTCCAGCCGGGACTGGATGAGCTTCACAGGATCTTTGAAAAACACCCTTTCTTGAGGCTTCATCTGAAATACATAAGATAAAATAAGTTGGCTGGATAACATAAGGTAATTCTCTGTTGGTGGTTTCAGACAGTAAGCTGCAGTGGAGATGTTAAACTCACCAACCTGGTCTGTGATGGGCAGATAACTGCAGGTGGCTCCACAGACACTGCACTGCTCTGTGGGAAAATACATCATTAGAAGGGGCCGGAAAATGTCTAATTGAAGCCACAATGTTAAAGAATTTTACTTAAAAAGTGAAAGCAAATTGATTTAGCGTATTAGCTGTCTTATTAGTAGCAAAGTGAAAAAAATTAATATACAAAATCAACTTTGAACATTTATTGTAAAAAAATGTATCAAGTCATTTTATGAAAAAACACTAATTGTCAAGTAATATTTTGATAGCTTTTTGTGATTTGTTATTGATGTGACCTTTTTCTTGCGTGGTACTGTGATATATTGTCATATCGATGGCGTGCCACTGAATTTAATTAAGTGAAAGTCGCGTTGTGGTAGACTTTGTGATATCAGCAAATTGTCATATCGTTTTCCAAAGAATCGATACAATATCTTACCGTGTTGTAACTTGGAATTCACACCCCTACTTACCAGATGTAATGCATGCTTCACAGCAGATGTGGCCGCAGCTGCTCACAGCAAACTTCGACCCACTCCTTGTAAAGCACTGATTACAGTGGAACCAGTCCATTTTAGATTACTCCTCTGCAAACACAAGAAGACAATTCACAAATGATAACTTTTCAGACTTTCATTATATTAATTCATTAGTTTTTACCCCTTCTTGAGGCTGAATGGGAGCATATCAGTGCAGGCCAGTTACAAAGTCTTGTGGAAAGTCTTCCAAGAGAATTAGACACTTCTGAGAGCATATTAATGCCCATGATTTTGAAATTACATTTTCAAAAACAAGGTGACGAATGCCCTATAACTCTGACAATATAGTGAACCAGTATGTAAATCGATTTAATTTGACCTATTTATTGGTTTCTTAATTTACTTTATGGTTTGTGAGCTGAGTGATTTTTTTATTTCATCTATTAATTTATTTTCTGAGGTTTTACAGTCCTTTACAAATAAAGCTGTATTGTATGATTTATTTATTTTTTACTCAATATCTTTACATTTACAATGATGTTTTTTTGCCCACAATGTATTAGTTGTAAATTCATTACACCCACACATTTGCACATAGTTATACATATAGCTGAATACTGCAATGACAAGACACACAGTTAGGTATGGCAACTTAGAGTGTATATAAAGTTAGCTTCTCATTAACCATACTGATAGGTGAATTTATACTGTTAGCCCTAGTCTATGTGTTAGCCACCAAAGTGTTTGTAAACTAGCTTAAACAATTGTTTGATTTGGCTGTCTACTGGCAAACATTAGGGTAAGAGACCGACTCAAAACTTACATTAAACTTTACCAATAAGATATCTACTCTCATGTTGCTTACATTACCTTTCGCCTTGTTTAGAAGTAGTTGAAGTTTTATGCTAATAGAGGGGTTATTTTAGCCGGCTTCATAGTCCCGCCCTCTACGCAAATAGCGGTTCTCTTTCCTGATTGGCCGAGAGACGTTTGATGACTCATGATCCCTGGGCTGCAATGGTATTAGGTTAAGGGGGATCCCAGAGGTTGTTTTTTTTAAATTATCTTTATCGGTTCGGTCGCTTGAAATACTTTTGTATACAAAAAAAATTATTTCTCTCCTAAGGTGAATAGGAGTGAATTATGTACTTAGTCATTCTACAATTTAGAGACTGTTAACATTACACGTTGAACCACAATTACTGAGTTTAGCCTTGACCTGCTTGAAGAATACAGAATAAAAATACCTACATTAACTGTTTAGTTATTGACGTGAACAACGTTTAATGTAATCCAATTGCTTTCAAGATTCATTTAATGCGATCAATATTTTTGGGAAATTGACACATCACAGGGAAAAAAAAACTTTTAAAAACAAACCCCATCCTTTATTGCATATTGCAACCAGATGTGTGCATCATTGTTGTAGCCAGAAATTAGGTCATCATGATTCAGTAATACAGCTTAGTTTAAGGGTCATTCCAGAATTGGAGGACATTTCATGTCCCCCATATAACAAATCTAATAATCCATGCCCAAAATGCTAAAACATGCACTTGTGTTCAACATACTTGTCGAGACAAAATATAAAGTTGTAGAAAAAGTAGTTTCAAAATATTTAAATCAAATAGCTCCCGAACATCCCCTAAAATGGCATTTCTCTTGTCCCCGCTTCTTGGTGACCAACTTGCATGTCAAATATAACATTTAAAATAGGGATTTTATTTACTTTTTTTGGTATTATTCTATTGATATATGTCTCTTGTAATGGTAAAAACAATTTGTTAAATCATAAACATTTTAAATAACAGTAATTTTGCACAGAAGGTGTCCCCCAACATGCATTCAACCCCGTTACCCAAACCTTTTTAGATTGGCACAGGAAGTGAAAAAAACTGTAATTCAGATGACACTCTTTTATTTCATATTTTTACAAGAGTGTGGCACCCTGACCCACTCAACCCTGTTACTGATATTATCAGAATAAAGCATTTTAATTTCAAAGTTATCTTTCTTGCATTAGATATCCAAGTTTGTCCTTGCCTTGAAAGTAGCATTGCATGCTATATCTAGCAATAATTAGAGGTTAAAGCTCAAATTAGCATGGATTTTCAACCCTGTTACTATAATTAGAGTAACAGAGTAATTCTTCATTGGAAAATATACATTTGATGCCTAGCCGGGCAAATCACTTTTTTTGATGGTTTCTTATCAGTTTTTCCTAAATACATATTAAAAAAAAATTATAAAATAAAAGGTTCATTTTTCTACAATGTTGGTCTAAATTGTCCTCCAATTCTGGAATGACCCTTAAACCGTTTCACACAAAAGGCAAGTCAAACTTAATTTGAGAACTTCAATTAAGTGGTTCAGATACATTGTTTTATTAGCAACATACAATCTGAAATGCAAAGAGACAGGCTCGCACTAAGCTTACGAACCAAAAATGAAAACTGAATTCAGATAGAAGAAACCAGTCAGCGAAATGGATCCATTCCTGTTGGGAGAACAAAGTTTTAAAGTAATCGTTCAGAACACATGAATATTGAAATACGAAACCCTTACCTTCAGGAATTCACATCTGTGATGGTAAATGGCCCAATGACTGCTTTTTGTACCATTCGAGGTTTCTCTGCAAACATATATACTTTAGTACAAGTCAACAAATCAAGTGTAATACAGCAGAAGTTGTGTACATACCTGACGCAACACTCCTCTGCCTCCTTGACTTGCATTTCGATTCACAGCAGTCACAAAGATTACTCTGGGCCAAGTTGTCCAGCAACTCCCAACTGAGTTCATGAAGATTGGATGAAAAGACAATTAAAATGGACCTCAACTCTTCCAAATAAAGTCTCCACAAAGTTTGAACAGTTATGAATGGGATCCATCTGTATCTTCAGTAGACTGGGCTAAAGCTGAATAAGTCATCTCTTGTAAAACAAATTAACCTACAATTGAAATTCTGATATATTGAAGTAATATTTTTACCCATGCCCTTTGACAAAGTGGCAGGCTTTCTTAGTGCTGTCAAGACCATTGGGATCCCAAGCCAAAAGTTTGCAGTGGATAAAGACCTGTTGAGTAGAGGGAAAATATAGGAGTCATGGCATACATTTATCTCTGTTGCCACAATAAAACCTTGCATCCGAACAAAAATGTACAATTTAGAAGGCCAATTTACCTCTTCTCCCATAGCAAACTTAAAGGTCTGAAGTGATAGGCGCATCTCCGATGACTTTTGCCTAGGTTCAAATTTTGATTGTGACGACACACTTTCCAAAAGACATCTGTTGGGTTAAAGAAAATAAATTGGCATACTACCAAAACACATTTTTTAAGTCAATGCTTATTGTCATTAGAGTACCCTTTATTGGAGATTATAGGGTACATGGTGCTTTCAGGGTGCAGCTCTGGCGTGGTAGCTGCTACACATTCCTCAAGAAGCATCAGCAAGGGCTGATGGGTCTTCTGCACCACACTAGCCATGATGGGGATGATGGAGCCCAGAGGAAAGCTTGTAGATTCAGCAGGGCCTGAGAAGTCATCTAGGGCAGTAAACAGGAAAAGAGTCATTAAGTTACAAAAGTCAGGGAGAGCTGCCATTTGTAGAGAGTTTCTCATGTTGTTTACCCACCATTCATAAGGCCAATGGTAAACTGCAGATCTCCTAGGCCGTAGGTTTTAAACACCGGGTCATAGATCTGCTGGCTGGAATACCAGTCTTTGGGCCTGCACAAAATAAAGCAGAATGTGTACAGTAAATGCTGCCACGTGAAACTGAAAACGTATTAGCGTGAGCCTGTGTACTCGCATTTAATTAAAGCTCATTATTAAAATGTTACTCCTATGGTAAAATCAATGTTTATTTATACAGCCCAATATCAAAAATTTTTACATTTGTCTCAGTGGACTTCACAGTTTGTACAGAATATCAGTATGACAATACAAAGTCATAAAAGACAGTTGAAAATAAGTAGACATTAACTACTTCCTCCAAAATGCTAAAAACAAGAGTGCTGATACTTATATGTGTGATGTCCATTTAAAACTATGGGAGCAACTCAATGGACAATGAATTGGGAAAAATGACAACAGAGTGCACATTGGGGAATGTTCTCAGTAAATGGGTACATTTTTTGTTGAGAATACTCAACCCATTCATTGTCTATGTAGCAGCTTCAGACTTTATACCTGATGACAACAAGTTTGTGACGGACTTCCATGGTGGATGGCTTTGAGAGGGAGAAGCTTATTATCAAATTGAACTTTCCCAGGCCATGGAAATGCCACATTGGAATAGTTAGTGAAGGGTCACCCTTTAGCACCTTATGTTGTAGTTGGTTTGAACACTAACCTCTCATATGCACAGACAACTGGGTGAGTGAAGGCCAAATTGTAAGAATCCTCAGAAGCAACGTAGGTCAGATCATTGCTGTACAGCAGCACATCACCGGTGACCTGTTAGAGACAAAGATCCCCCTGAGAGAGCTGTAGGAAATATAGCAGACTCACAGCCTGCAGGTTTAATATATATATATACATACACATACACACATACCAGTATCCTAAAGTTACAGTCAGTGAGATCCACATAGAAGTAGGCCTCTCCTGCTGAGAAGCTGGTTGGGAAACAGCTACCCAGACGGAGAAGCGACATGTCAGCCTGGGGTCGGCTTTCTGTCCACATCAGCGTCACAAAATCTGGCCCACAGTCCACTTTCATGTCTGCAACACAAAGAAATTAGGTTTAGACTCAACTATTTGAGTCAAGGATAATAACATGACTTTAATTGTTTCCAGTCTTACCTGCATATACCGCCATGGCAGCTGCCAGGCTCAGAAGCAGTGCACCTTGACAAAATGAAACCATCATGACTGCATGCTTGCTACTGACACAGTGCATGTTCTTATACCTTGTTCCTGAGAGGCATTCATCAAGATAACGTATTTTTTAGCTGCCCGGACTATAACAGACAAAGATTCATTCTGAAAACTGCACTGGAACAACTCAACATCAAGGACATGGATTTCAAGGCAATATTTGAAAGTAAATCAAGAAATGAAGCAAACAAGCTGATCTTCAAATTCCTCAAAAGCACTGGTCTGAGGACAAGGATTTAGTATGAACATTTAATAACTAAACAGTAGGTGGCGATATATGCTCCAAGTGGAAGCGATTCGCCATTAAAGAAAAGAAGAAGAAGATAGTGCATTGGTTGTCTTCCTGAGGTTTTGATTTAGTTTTGCTGTTATATATATTAACATTAATATATGTATACGTTGGGATTCTTTGTTCAACGTCAAGTCATGCAAGAAAAAGTTTGAGAATTAAAAGGTGAGTCATTTCTAAACAAATGATCATTTGGGGGAAGGTAGTTTTCCTTTATCAGATGTCCTGTATTCAAATGTGTTATTTTTACATCTGAAATGTTTCAGTTCATTTAAGTTGCTTTCAGTGAGAAAATATCCACACACATCCAAATATTAGATTTGTTGCTATGATGTAATCTTTTAACTGCATAAACACGTGTCTTGCAGGTCATCCCTATTGATTTTACATTCATGGCCAGAAAGTAAACTATGCTACATTCAGCTGAAGGCATTAGTGCCCAGAAAGTAAATTCAGATCAGAATTGTCTTTTCAAATGAAGCTCAACATAAATAATTGCCATAGTTGTAATACCAGACAGATCACTAATAGCTTTTGAATCTGGTGGTGTATGTAATGTCAGAATTTTATATCTTGTCCAGAGCTCAATGTCAAATGGAAAGTGAAAGAGGCTTTACTCCAACTCACATGGCCATTACAATTTGTCTGAGGACTTAAAGGTTACATTATAATTGACAGAACTTGACAGTATCTTTCAATGACAAAAGTCACACATAATTAGTAACATTCTACTGATAGGACAGATGGACACAGTTGAGGAGTTAACAGTTTTATTTATACAGAGATTATAGACAACTTTAATCTGCATATGGATGTCGTCCACCCTCTGTTCAGTCTCCCCAATCCTAGACTGGACTTCCTGTTGACATTTTTTTTTTAGCAATGTTAGTCTTATGGCAAGTTTTGAACAAAGCTTCAAGACGAAGACCATAAATAAATACTCATTAATCTTAGTCAGCAATGGAAACATCTGATGCATTGTGGGTATTTTGTTGCAATGGATCCATTATGATCAGGGGTCCCAACACAGAAGTGTGCCGGAAGCCGTTGGATTCTGAGGTGGAAAAAAAAAAAATATATATAACTTAAAATTGAAAAAGCCTATACTAGATCAAAAAGCATACAAGTTGGAATAAGAGAGATACCCCATTCGTCTCCTCTCTTTGAGCGGGTGTTGCAGGTCCTAGAACAGCAGTCACAAATGGAGCTCTGCATGGGGTCATCCAGGAGTTCCCATCTGAGGAAGCAACAACAGGCTCAAATACATCAGCATGGCTTTAAAAAAAAAAATTATATATATACACACACAGAAAAAAGCCGTTGTATGTTTCTATTAACATTTTATTATAAATATCAAGTTAATAACAGTTGCTAAAAAGGACCAAAATATACATTTCCATCTACAGTGCAGAAAAAAGTGAACAGAAAAGCTCAGGGCTTTTTTTTTTTTTTTTGATTTAGGCCCATCTCATTAGGTTGGCTAATCATTTTTTGAGTGCCCCTCCTTTTAAAAATATTATATTGTCATTCTTAAATATTTTACAATTATCATTTGTCACAATTGTTGTCTATACTTTGTTAGTTAGCAGGAGGTCATTTTTTTATAGATATATAAAAGCACAATACTGATCAAAGTACATGCATTAATCTACTTCAAGTTGGATATGTTATGCTAAAATAAGCTAGCCACCTTGGCTAATGGTGCATACTTCTTGCACATGGCATCAGTTGCATTCATTCTATTAAACTTCTGGCAAGAACATGTTCACATACTTCCAACATATCAAACTTCCCTTACCGCTCATTTTCCTTTACATAGTGGCAAGCTTTCTTGCTTTCACTTAGAACTTCGGGATCCCATGCGAGCAGTTTGCAGTGAATGTACACCTGAGGAGCACATGAAACATACATTTTAGCTAGGAACCAAATATTCTTTAGAGCACTTTCCATTTACCTCCTCGCCGAGACCAAACTTGAAGGACTGCAGGTAGAGGGTGATTGCAGAGGAGTGGTACCGCTGGAGAAACATGGAGTTTCCCTTCTCACTGTCCAAGAGACACCTGAAGAAATATCAGATAATCGATAAGGACTAAACTCCAGAAAACAATTAAATAAATCAGAGACTGGATCTCACCCCTTATTTCGAATGATGGGGTACACATTGCTGTTAGCCTGCAGCTCAGGCGTAGTGGCTGCCACACATTCCTCCATGAGCAGCAGCAATGGCTGATGGGACTTCTGCTCCACTGTTGCCCATATTGGCATGAAGGAGCCCAGGGGGATGACATTTGTCTCCGCTACCGCTGTTATTCTTTCTGTAACGGGAAAAGTAAAAACTGCTTAGTGTGCGTTTTTACAATGTTTTGCCTTTGGGAGCATGAGCCCTCACCATTTAGGAGCAGCATGTGGAACTTCAGACCTCCTCGGCCTTCGGCAACACTTGACCCCGCGTTCAGGAAAGGAGGAATCCACCCCTTAGGTCTGAAATATATTAACAACATTTATCCCATATATCAGCTTTAAACTTGAATTTAAATAAGAAAGAAACTCCTACCTTGGATAAACACACTCGATTGGATACACATAAGATGCAGGACTCGACCTTGGTCGGGGCCTGAAAGTCAACTCATTTTTGTAGAGGAGCTTTTTCCCTTTCACCTGAAGAATAAAAAAAAAAAGCTCATTATGACATTAATAAGGCAGAGAGATATTTTGGTGAAACATGGCAGTTACATTACCAGTCTTTTAAAATTGCAGTCAGCTAGTTTGTAGTTAAACTCAGCTTTCCCCTCTCCGCTGGGCAGAACATTAAACCGGGATGCCATGCAGTTTCCGAGGAAGTGACGAGCTGCAAATGGCACCAGCATCGGATGGATCGTCCATGTGATGCTTATGGAGTCTTTTTCACAGTTTACTTTGATTCCTGCAAACAAATCATTATTATATTTCCCCATACATTCCCCAACAAAAGTAGATGTTTACATGCATGTGCTAAGAATACCTGCATTGGCAACAGTTGTTGCAAAAAGAGCCACAACTATCACACCTAGGTAGAGTTGAGTCCCCATGACTGAATGATCTAGATCACACAGGAAGTGGCATCATTTGTAGACTACCTGCCAAATTAGCTGAACGAGCAACACTTGTGTGAGAGCAGGGCAGCACTTGGTCCTCTGTCTACTTATACTGTGGTGTAATTTCACGTACTTGCAATTTCATTGTAGAGTTTTCATTTGGATAATATCTAGTACACTTATTCAAGTACATTTTTATTTATCTGCCTAAATGCCTCTTTTTTTAACTCTACTTAATTTATTTGTCAACAATTACCTGATTATTTTACATACAGCACTATTTTTAAAACAATACAATAATTCAGATGAAACTACTTAAAAGCAATTTTCTAAAATCAGCCCAACCATAACAACCTTCCAAGTCAATATACTTACATGTTATAATAGTTATCAAACCATTTAATATGTGTACTTTTATTTAACCGATAACATTATTTTATGTGTACTTTTATATAACCGATAACATTATTTTACTTAATTAAAATGTGTATTGTAATGCATTATTTATTTGGAGGTTATATTGCAACATATGTGTAATATCTGAATACATCTTTCATTATTTAACTTACAAATCTATTTTTGTTTTGTTTACCAAAGCGGAACCACTTTTCCTTGGGCTCTGGCTCCATCACGTCCGGAACGTTTAGCTTGGTACACAGGAAGTAAATTCAATTTAGCCAGACAAGTAGGTTGTAATTCGCTGGTATATCAAGTGTTTTGGTCGGTAAACAATTCTTAACATTACAATCTGTAGTCTTTTGAGTATTCAAGATGCTGATTAAAGTAAAGGTAAGACCGTGTTATTTTTAAATATACGCGTACTCTTGTTCGCTAGCTCCTAGCTGATGGTGTTAGCCCGCTAACACCAAGACCGGTCCGCTAGTTTATTTTTGGGGCAGTCATGTAATATAATCACGTTTCTCATTCTGTATTATTTTATTTTTTAATGTTTGCCTTGTGTTGGCCCAATATTGTCTTGAGCTACCGACTAGCTAATCTAGCAACATGCTGCTCTTTGGGTTAATACCATTCAGTAGCTGTTATTTGATAGCTTGCTAACTTAAATACACTAGCATGAGCAGGTTAGCAAATTATTTCGTACATTTGTGACCCCTCATTTTCTGAGGACAACAGGATGAGTTTGGGACGTACAAATACAAACACGATTATGCTGCCCACTCCCTTCATCATTGGTCAGTCGAAATAAGACGTTTGGAGACGTCACAAAACTGGTGGATTGATTTATCAATAAATATAACATTCATCGATTGCAGCCTTACTATTACAGTTCTCCCCATCTAAATATGCCTTATTGTTTCTCTTTGGTGTAACGTGTGAAAACTATTATTGAAAACTGATCATTTTCTTTTGTAGCCACCTGTGAAATTCCCATGTGTGGAATTAAAAAAGATGTTGCAGATTATTGTGTGCATTTTAAGGAACCAAAGCTTGTATTAATGTGATGCATTACCTTTCAGACACTCACCGGAAAGGAAATAGAGATTGATATTGAGCCCACAGACAAGGTGAAATATGAATCTCTCTATAAGATACATGGCCTGTATTTGCTTCACTCTCAAGGCACCGTATCATTTGTTGTTTTTGTGTAATCAAAAGGTGGAGCGAATTAAAGAAAGGGTGGAGGAGAAGGAAGGGATCCCCCCGCAGCAACAGAGACTCATCTACAGTGGTAAACAGATGTAAGTGCCTCTATTGGATCCATCTCCACTCTTCAATGCGAGTTGCTCTTATTTAATTTCTCTAACTCATCTCTCTCTTGTTCCCAGGAATGATGAGAAGACGGCTGCAGACTACAAGATCCAGGGAGGCTCCGTGCTCCATCTTGTGTTGGCGCTAAGAGGCGGCTCGACGCTCCACATGCCCTGCACACACTTGCCCTCCTTGTCATGAGTCGCTGTTGTCATCAGTGCCAACGCTTAAGGTGTCCGTCAACGTCTAACCATGTTTCAGCAAAGAGATCTGAAATCCCACGCTCTCGGGCAGACACAAAAGAAAAATCAACCACCAACAGCAGCAAGAAAGAAAAAAAAAGAGGACGTTCTAATTCCTTTGTAGATGTTTTTTTTGTTGTAAACCCACATCTGACCCGTTGATGCCGGCACTCATGCAGTACAAAAGACAGTTGGAAAACACTGTTCTTTTTGCTTGTGAATAAATGCTGAAATTGATTCAATCGTTGTCCTGAATACACTTACACCAAGACAAGCCGCTGCTGACGGTACTGAAAACAGATTTTTTATTAGAAAATGCCAAGGAACAGATTTCAACAACCAGCGAAAACAAGAATACTCATCCTGGTCTTTCTTTACATCTCTACTTTAAGGTAGTGATCTGAAACAGGTACACTGAAATCCATTTAAAGCACCGTTGTTTACGTCCAGAGTGTTTTTCTTTTAATTAGAGATCCATGATTATGAGATGAGTAATCAAATTACTGAGGTGATTCAAGATTTTCCAAAAACTCTTCTTATTGTGCTAATATACTTAAAATCTGAAATATACATCTTGTAGACAGTATCATGCCCATCCCTCTATCACTGTACACAGTCTTCATAAAATAAAATAACTCAGGAGCCTCTGTAAACAACAGACGAGGAGATACTGGTCAGGAAAAGCATGCTCGAGTCGGAATGATAAAAACATGTTAAAGAGGACTACAACCCTCACATTTAAAACCATTTCTTTGCCACTAAAAACCAAATATAATTGCATTATTTTTTGTACATGAAAACAAAAAACCTCGTTTGTTGAGGGGATGAAAGGCACAGGGGAATTAATGAGGTGAATTTTCCGAGCTGAAGGAGGCATGGTAAATCTGCAACACCTAAGGTTGTGTTTACGATCCTAAACCCTAAAATCTCTAATTTATATCCCTGCGTTTCCCAGTCAAATAAAGTGTACTGGATCAGAGCGTTTCATCGTGATAGTGGTGTGTCATTAGTACAACAAAGTTAAAATGGTAAAGGCAAATACTTCATAGGAAAAATCACTTCAAACGTGAGGACATATACCGGACATATTTATGGAGTGAAATAATACCAAAAAAACATGCCATCTTTTCCGGACAGTTTTGTTTGCAAAAATCCAAGAAAATCGATTTCTATTTTTGTATTAGAGGGGCAAATTCTAAAGCTTGTGCCATATTAAATAATGCCATCGGTCACATTTGCACGTGGATTCTAGGAGATATGGTGAGTTCAGGCTTATTAGGGTTTCTTCAGCTGTAAAAACACTAACAAAATCAGGAATTCTTAGAAACAGCAGCTTTAGACGGTAGTGTGGAGGGTGTGACGGCAACATTTTCTAAAAACTCCAGCCGTCTGTAAGGTTCCTGCTGACTCATCCGGAGAGTGTTGTCGTAGTCCTGTTTCCTGATTGGCTGCTGTCAGAGTCCGGGGAAGGTGTCGATCTGCACCGTGTCCTGAAAGGTCGACCCTCGGCTGCTGTAAGAGATGCGGACCTTCATCTTCAGGTTCACCTGCGGCACGAGGAAGGAGTTATCAGCTTGATTAGTACCGTGGCCGACAGGCGCAAACACGCTTCCACACTTCTATTAGGAGAAACGCGCTGCATTTACAAAAACATTGGAAATATAAATATATAATCCCCATGTGTGCATGACCTTTCTCCCCCTGTTTCCATTGTGTTTTGATCTTCTTGCAGCATTTTGTAATTGCAGCTTTTTGTCTATGCAGCGCTTTAGGTAAACCCTTTGCATGTTTCGTCAAGTTGGTGAAGATGTTTTTTCATTTGCATGTGTTCTGGCACATTTGTGTTTTTTTTATTTTAAACTGCCGACGATTTCTCCTGATGGAAATGTTTTTGCAACCACTGTAGTTTAGTGTAGCTAAAGCGACAAAAGTACTGTAACAATATTAATGACTGCTAAATGGCACATTCACTTGGCTAAGATGTGTTGTTCTTGCCAAATATAACAACAGGTTTGTGGGACTTAAGTGAACATTTGGAAATAAGGTGTAAATATGTGATCTAATGTTCAGATTATTTTCTCCCTTGTTGACAAATACATATGTTCCGTTACAATTGTATCCGTCCCGATAACTTAAAGGGATAAATCATGATTTTTTGATTTACTAAAAGTTATTAAATTATAAAAAAAGAGTAGTTAATGCGACAATCGTCTAAGCTAAAATACCTTAATGTACCAGGTTAGCTATAAAATTAGCTATTCATTACTATGCTACATTCCAAATCAAATACTTTTTTTTTTAACCGGACACTTTGAACTTTGACCCTCTTGCTCATAAATGCTGGCATGCATACTTTAAAATATGACCAATGCAGTAGGTGATCCTGGTATTTGAGAGCTTACTGCGCTGATATATTATGCATTAGGACAACTTTAATTATTTCTGGCATACTGAACAGTATAGTTCTATGGGCATTAACACATGGGCTGTTTTCACATGTAAATGAGCTAGCTACCAGCGAGTGACTTGTTGTTGGCAACGTGATATTGGATTTGTGCTTAGACTAACACACCTGTCGATAGATCTCCGATCCTGAACATCTGTATCGATACAGCTTGATCACACTTCTGAATGAGCTGACTCTTATTGACAAACATGAGTCACCATTTTGTGTGTGTATGTGTGTCCTACCCACCTTGTTTTGGTAGTTGAGGACGACCATCTGGGTCACCTTAGCTGCGCCTCGTGCAGGAAGAGAGTCCCCGCTGGGAGCATTCATGTTTAACTTGACACTCTGGAAGGCGGGGAGAGAGGGGGGGATCAGATTGCTTTGAAGTTTAAAGCACCAAAACACAGGCATGCTGGGGGGGAACATAACAGGAGCTAAAAACCTACAACATGCAAGCAACAACGTATATGTTTATATGACACAGCATTTTAAAATAGAGTGGTGCAGGTATGAGTCATAAAACCAGGGGATGAGTCAGCATTTGATCACTTCCGGATCCAAAGATGGCGGTTGCTAACAAGTGAGTAAATGATACTACTAAATGTCATCAAGCCCAACATTAGCCACCTTTAGCTTAGCGGTGGTGACTTTAAGTCATGCGACCTTTATGTAGTTCGTGTTTAGCGTTTCTAACTTTAGCTATTTACTCCTGGTGGTAGCATAACGCTTCAAAAAAGATATAAAAGTGGTGTTAATAAGAGAAGTGCTTAACTGAAGTAAGTATCATAAAAGTGTTTTCCAAAGATCAAACTTTCTGCAATATCTTGAAACCCAATGGAGAGATGCCATTGCCATTTGTCAAGGAAGCCCTTGTGTTGCTACTTTCCAGGTATTCCTACAAAAAGACATCATCACTGCACCACTCTGTAATAATGAGAACAGATCATTTTTTATCTGGGATGTGAAACAGACCTTGGGCACTGCAGCCTGCAGGGTGAAGCTGCTGATGTCTGAGTCGGTGGAGTTGGAGGCTGTTAGCATGACTGTCATGGCGGTGTCTGACTGCTTCTCACAACTCAGTGTCAGCGCCACACCGTCTTTATCGTACACCGGCACTAAGGGAGCTATGGAAACACATATCAGGAAATGTTTTTTTGTTTAAAACAAAAAGTGAGCAAAACTTGACAAACTAGAATGACTGCCTTGTGGTTGTATGCCTCCACCAAACAGTCAAGTCACAGTTTACATCCATGTCTGTCCAAAATGTCATCACAACACGTTTTGTGAGGTCAAAGTGACCCTTGACCAACACGGGGTGATCTTATCACACTTGACTCATCCGGAATATTTTGGAAGAAAGTCAAGAGAAACCTTTTTTTACAAATAAGTCTAAATTCCAACCATAAGTTTTAATATTACAAGAAAAACTTTACAACACGTGATACGAAGCAAACAAGGTGGCCACACAAAACTGGAAAAGATTTAGAGAGATACTTTGGTCCTGATTCTAAACTAAACTCGAGTAAGTGTCGGAATTTTCACAGAGGTTGGAATTTCCACCAGGAGGTTAGGGCTCCACCAGGCTGTTTTAGGAGACACTGCCCAATTGTTAACCAGTTTTTCGTGTTTCAGCAACGCCAGTTCGCCCAAAAACTTGTTAAACTCTCGCACAAACTAATTGCTTGGCCAGCAGCAATAACCTGAAAGCTGCATACATTAGAGGCATAGGCGAAGTTTGGGGGGGTTCCCGGGGTGCCCGGCACCCCCTGGTGGCCGGAGTCTTTTTTTTTTTTTTTTTAGTTATGATGTACAGATAGTAGGTGGCCTAGATAAATATAACTCTGGAACGCTATATCAATAAATGCAAACTCAATAAACATAATAAATTTAAATCCACAAACATATTGTCTCAGTGTGTACTGCTGTCAGAGACAGAACATTACTCAAAAATGAGTCTACACAGACGATCTGTGCAGCTGCTGCGCCCTCACACGCT